CATTTTAGAGTTGACCATTAGTTACAGTGTAGTCCCTGCCCTTAGCCCAGTGCCTTGACCCACTTACTTCCCAGCTCCACCCTCCAGCAGGATACCACTTCACTTCTACCAAATGCCTTCAGAATTAATCTCCCATTGTCCGACCCATGACCTGACAGCTTGTATCTGATGCTTTCTTCTCTCCTGTGATTCCAACCACGTCAAATGCTGAGAGATTTGGTTTTTTGTTTTTTTTTTCCGCGTCCAGTGTCTCTTAAGTTTACTTGTACTGTCTCCGAAGGGAAGGTGATGTGTCCTGTAGAACTCCTTTATAGATTGTGTTTTTCTTCTTGGCCCGAGAGCCGCAGGACCCTCCACTGGACCAATCGGTAGCATCAGGATGGATGGCGAAGAGATTGAGATTGTTCACAGCTTCAGTTTGCTCAGTTCCACGGTCAACACTCTTGGCACCAGTAGCCAGGAAATTAAAAAACATATTGCGATGGGAAAGTCTGCGGTTAGGGACCTCTCTAAAGTACTCAAGAGCAGTGGTGTCTCTCTGGAGACGAAGGTGTGCCTGATACAGGCCATGGTTTTTGCAATCACTTGTTATGTATCAGAGAGTTGGACAATGACTAGGGAGGATAGAAGGAGAATTGACACCTTTTAGCTGTGGTGCTGGAGAGGAGTATTGAATGTACCATGGACTGCCAAGAAAATAAACAGATCTACCCTAGAAAGGGTTAAACCAGGCTGCTCCTTGGAGGCAAGGATTCTGGGGCTTTGTCTGACATACTTTGGACATGTTGCAAGGAGAGACAGGTCTTTAGAGAGAGACATCATGCTGGGTAGAGTAGAGGGACAGTGCAGGAGGGGAAGACCCTCTATGAGGTGGATTGATTCAGTGATTGGGGTAATCGGGATGGGTGTGTCAGAGGCAATGAGATTGGCACAGGATAGAGCACGGTTTAGGGCTGTTGTACATAGGGTCGCTATGAGTCGCAAACGACTCGACAGCACAGAACAACAACAACAACAGTGGCCTAGTGGGAAGCAGCTGTGCTACAATCCCAAAGGAGGGCGATTCAAATCCACCAGCTGCTCTGTGGAAAAGGATGGGCAGTCTCCTCCCATATGACTAACTGCCTCTGAAAATGTTCTGGAGGATCAGCTATGGTAGGTTCCGACTCAACAGTAACAACAAAAACATACAACATATGGGTCTTTTACAAGATATCCAAGCTTAAGAGTCCATACTTATCAAATAAACACAAGTAACGAATTCATTCGGAATAAGTAGTAACAACTTTATTTTTAATTCAACGTGCTGAAATGCAAAAAATATTTTCAGCAATAAGATACAAAAAAGTATGTATCTCACTAGTAACATCAACTGATTAAAAATGAGACTGAAAAGTTCATTGTAAGTCTTTATACATTTGAATCTTGAAAATCAATTCCTCCCCATAACTAATTTTTAAATAATTTTATTTTCCAAAATGGGACTCACTTAAGTTATATCTTTATTCTAAAAACCTGAATGCAAAATTAACTGAGTTACAGTATACAATGATAAACTTTAACAGAAAAAGATTTAAATATAAGAATTCCTTTTCAACATAAAGTTCACATACTGCAAACAGAAGACACAGTGTGGTGATTTCATTCCTAAGTGAAGAGGAAGTCTTGCATATGGTAGGCACTCAATATTTGCTCAACTGGACCCAAAATTTACATCATTTCATGAACACTTAAATAAAGTAGAGCTTATAATCTGTACAAAAAAAGGCTTCCAAAATACTTGTGTGTGCTGAAAGTGCTATCTTTACAATTTGAGAACACTAAACAAACTTACCTACCCACCTTATTTTACAACTACAGTGAATATTTTTATTTTATCCATCATAGATGAGGGTGAATGTCCAAGTCAGGATAATTTAACTCAACTCTTCAAGCATACTTGGCTTTGAGAAAAGCTTGCTGAATTGATTTCCATAAAACTTTACTTACTGATAAAGTTTCTGTCCTAGTTGAAAACAGTGGGTATTATCTATGATTTTCAAAAGAATTCTTAGATATCAAAGGGGTATATAAATTAGTAAATCGTACTTTTTATCATTCAAGTGCTAACTTAAATCTAGTTTAAAAATAAACAATGTTCATGATAACTTTTAAAGAAATCATTGTAATTTTAAAACTTAAACTAATGTCTTAAAAAGGCACTGTTTCACATTTCATCATGCAGTAAATGAATTGGTCACATTTTTGAGAATTATGTTTTCTCTATCAATTGTTCTCCAAAATAAAGCCCATTTAAATGAAATATTTCAACTAATCTGAACTTTCCACATTTAACTGAATCCTATTTTCACAAATTCAATCTTTTGAACATACCACACTCAAGCGAATAAAAGTATACGTACACATAAACACATACAAATGATCACATAATACATGCAAGATTCTCCAATTACTATTTCAAGACAATGACACGTAAGTATTCAAAGAGGTAACATTGGCAAGCCATAATATTATGGCACCTTCATATTTGTGCTCTAAATACCAATGCATGTTAAAACTAATAAAGAAAACAAAAGGCACAAATAAGAGTGTTTCTATTCTAAAGTACAATTTCTCCAATGGTTATTTTGCAATATGTAACACTTAAAACCATCCACTACGTTTCTAAGAAGCAGCCCTGTTTCGGTGACAAAAGAGAGCCAGAAGCAGGCATTTCAGTTCGAAGACAAGACTATTCTGGACAGAATTTATTTCTACTGAACACAATGTGTGTGGCGTAAAATTCAAAAGGGGGAAGCTAGTAGAGCACTCATTTTGGACTGTATTATGTTTGTTTATCGTTGCCTAAAGAACCCACAATACCAAAAATATACATAATAAATAAAAAAATAAATCAAGTTGTATACAATTCTGTTAGTAGAATGGTAGGCATATATTATCTGAAAGTGGACATTTCTACAAATGTGGATATTCTTACTTTTATAGCACAGTGTTTGACATTTTTGGTAAAAATGTGCTACCAAACTTTAAAAAAAAATCTTTATAATAAAATCCTTAAGACTTGCAATAAACATTAGCGTAAAGACAAGCTGAAATGTTCATGAAACCACATCATTAGTGAAGTCATTATAGTTAAGAGCTGTAGATTCCAGCAGTGAAATAATTCACAACATGCCTGTGTATGTTTAATATAATGGAGACACACCAGTATTTTTATAATATATGACAACAAAACTATACAGCCTGAGGAAGGGTTTTTTCCCTTGTAAGCTCTTAAAAGTATATGTATATGAGCTTTACATTTCACACTGTAAACTTTACAGACTCTATAGTAAAGTGGAGTAGAGTGAGCTTCTGAATGCCAATGTGAATTAATATATATAGGATGGAGTCCATTAAAAATCTTTCTTTCAGTCCAAGGGATTCTTCCAATTTCAAATTTGACATAAAAATATTCAATTAAATCACAAAGAAGGAAACTATAGATATATGAAAATATGATCTTTTCAAATTCATTTGTTGTGGAATATAAACACTAATTTGATACTTTCCCCCAATGCAAATATGAATCACTCTTTTGATAGATTAGAACTGCAAAAATACAAGCTAGTTTTCTAGAACCTCAATCTTCAAGTTTCCTCCTTTGTCCTGAATTGAAACACTAAACAAATGACACAAACTTTAAACTGTTACACAGGCAAATGCACTTCTCCTCCCCCACCCCCAGTGATGCAACTTCCCCCCTGTGGCCAAATATATAAATATATAAATCTCATCTAAGTGGTACACTTGCACTGTTTCAGGGAATTGGATGCACTGACCTCTTCTGCTTCTCTAAGATTGTGCACTGAAGACTGCCACTAATCAACAGCAAACACTGTGCAGGGAAGGAACGAGTTTAAAGCTAAAACTTATTTATCATTAAGAACTGGCCCATGAAAAGCAGTTTCTATAAATAAGTTTATCCTGTTCACATTATGCAGAATTCAAAATCATCGTCTACAATGTTAGTACAGTAACTGAAACAGTAAGGAGAAAGTAGGGGGGAAGTGTAACTGCGTGGCCCGACATACTCTGTGGGTTCTCTCCTTTAGTGAACATATCCCACAGGCAAGCACTATCCATTGTACTGTTTTTAGGAAGAGAGTAAGCTATCCAGGATTTCTTTATTGTTCAGGGACCTTCTCCAAAGTGTGAAAAAATAGAAATTAATTAAAGAATAAGTATTTGAAATTCAAACTAATTTAACAATAATCCAGATTATTTTTTATTATCACGAACATCCCAGTTGCCTCCATCTGTTGTTGTTTATTTAAAAAAAGTCTCTTCAAAGTTTAAGACACAATCAATTATACCTTGTCAATTCACTCAAAAGCAAAAAACTATATGTACCATCCAGCATACAAAAGTTATTTATTACACATTCAAAGTGCATATATATCTTCCTTAATTGGCCCATACATTAAAATTTACATTTGGTCATCCTTACTGTTAACATCTAAAGAATTCTTCATATTAAAAAGCAGGTCAATAAGCCCCAAAAAATCCAAACCCACTGCTGTCAAGTCGATCCTGACTCCCAGCGACCTTTCAGGACAGAGTAGAACTGCCCCGTAAAGGTTTCCAAAGCTGCACATCTGTATGGAAGCAGGTCACCACCTCTTTCTCCCATGGGATGGCTTGGAAGTTAAGCTGCCAGCCTTCTCCTTGGCAGCCAAGCACTTTAACGGCTGTGCCACTAGGACATATAAATAATAATTAAAAATACTTCAGCACAAAACATACTTTCTGGTTGAAATCTTAACTTCAATCAGTACTCGATCACTGTAAACTTGGGATAAACCCATAAAGAAACATAAGCAAAAGTTCGTTATGCTTCTTAGTTCGTCAAACAGTTAAAACATAAACAGTACATATTACCAAAAATTCCAGCCAACTCATTGCATATTTGCCCCCTGAAATGAAAAATAAATCAGAAATGAAGCAGTGTATTGCCGAAAGGTTCTCCCAGATTCATAGGACTAGTGACATTCTTGGTATCTCTAACACAAGTGCTTTTAAAAAGAACCTAGTTTTAACCTCTGAAAAGATAGCAAAGGACAATCCCTATAATAATTCAATTTGCTTTCCTCAAAATTATGGAAGATCCTTTTGAAACTTAATATCTTCAGTTATCAGTATCACTGCATTATGGAGCTAGTGCAATCCTGCATAGCCTTCGTCAAAATGACAAGGCACAATAAAAAAATTAAAGTATTATATGAACAAGAGAAGTCATTGAAGATAATTTAAGGCCTTGAAGTGAATCAGAGTATAATCAGTCTAATTTAAAGCTGAAGAATAAACCATAAATTATCCACCTGCAAAGACAGCAATATGCTTTTTCCACTTCTGTTCTGTGGACCAAGAAAACAGAACCAACTCGTGCTTATGGTTTGTGTATTAGAATCCTTCTGGACCTAGAGAAGTAAAAGTCATTTCCATTGTTCTATGGTTCATGGAAGATTTCAGGACTGTTTTAGTCGTTTGCGTGGAATGCCGAACTGTGGACACTGTGCAGACGCTAGTGCTCGGAAGGCTTCTGCAACCAGATGAGGGTGAGACTGAATCATGGACTTCCACCCTGCTGTTTCCATTATGTCTGTTGCTTGACTAGAGAAGAAAAGAGATGTTTACTAAAGAGATTTTTCAAAATTACTGTTGCATTTTTAACACTGTCTACCTCTATAGAGTCAAATCACTTGAACTCAAGTTATTATCTTTATATCAACATAAAATTAATTTATATTCATTCATATAACTGTCTATTGCAACTGAAACTATGAAATCTTTTTGGAAGTTCTATTCCACTGAAATATTTAATTCTAGTTTCTAAAGTTTCTAGTTCCACTGCTTGCTATCACTTCTATACCAGTTCTTTCAAGAACTTCTCTCTTGGTTCTGCATTCAGACAATTCTTAACAGTTTCAATCTCTGTCCTCTATTCTTCTTCCTTTGGAGTCCCTAGGTGAAGCAAATGGTTAAGCTCTAAAGTACTGAACAAAAAATTGGCAGTTCAAGGCCACCCAGACATACTTCAGAAGACAGGTATGGTGGTCTGCTTCCGAAAGTTCAAACTGAATGCCTTATGGAGGAATAGTTCTACTCTGCATATATGAATCAGCACCAATGTGACTGCAACTAACAACTTTTCGTTCTATACTTTACTTATTCTATTTCAATTTTCAGTTTAAAGTATAATATTAAGTGCTAACTATTTTTTCTCTAAACCTTCAGCCTTCCGTATGGTTCAGTTCCTTCACTTGGCTGTTTAGTTGGATGTACATCTCTATGGAGCATAAAAGTAAGTCAGATGAGAATTTTTTCCTCTCTCATCTCAAACCTCTGTCCTCATGTACCATCTACCATCCATCTAGTGATTCAAATCAGATACCTGAGAGTCATCCTATACTTTGTCCTTTTTCAATAATTACCAAAGTCGTCTTATAACCTCCAAAGATATCTTGAATCCCTGACCACATAAGGACTGCAAACTACCACATTTAGATTGCCACCAACTCCTAATTTGTCTTCTGCTCTCAAACCTCACAGCCACAGTGCCAGCATAATGGAAGTAGGACCAAGTATTGATCTCTGCTTTTGCTCCTCACTGCCTGCATCAAACTTTAGAAAGAAACAGAAACGAAGTCCACTATTACCTGTTCCCTACTTCTCTTTAGTTTTCCATCTTCACTCAGTGTACTCAAATGTTGTCATCTCTTATTGCTTATTGTATTATTATTGTATTAGACATACAAACATGCTCTCACTGAGCAACCAGAGCATGCATTTTAATGCTCAGGCAGGTTATCTTTTGCCTCCTTCATTCTCTTCCTTGCATGTATCTACTATCTAAACAATGTCCAAATAGAGAGTCTTCCTTAAAAATATTCTTACACCTCTTAATTTTACTCTACTTCTATTGTCCCCAATCAGATATAATTTCAACCCTCATCTCTTAACTACTCCACTCACCTTTAAGCTGGTCTACTTTGTTTCTAAATACCCTTTCACTCTCTATAATCTTTTCTCTATATAATAGTATACAAATATATTAATAAAAATGCAATCCCAATCACTCTTGGGTTAAAACCCTTCACTGAATGCACTGATGAAGAGAAAGAGAGTAGCAGATTGGATAAAAAACCAAAATCCATCAATATGTTGTCTACAAGAGACACACCTGAAAAATGAAGATAAAGAAAGGTGAAAAATAAAAGGGTGGAGGAAAATATACCAAGCAAATGGCAACCAGAAAAAAGCAGGAGTAGCCATATTAATCTCTGATAAAATAAATATCAATATAAAAAACATCACGGAAGACAAGGAAGGTCACTACATAATGTTGAAAGGGTCAATAGAACAAAAGGACATAACAATAATAAATATCTATGCACCAAATAAAAAACCAGCAAAATACATAAAACAAACATTAACAAAACTGAAAAAGGAAAAAGACAACACTACTAGAGTGCTGGGAGACTTCAATACACCCCTCTCAAGAAAAGATAGAACTACCAGAAAAAAACTCAACAGAGATACTGAAGAATTAAATCACACAATAAACCAACTTGACCTCATAGATATCTATAGACTAATGCACCCCAAAAAAGCACAGTATACCTTCTTCTCCAATATGCATGGGACATTCTCTAGAATAGATCACATTCTAGGTACAAGGCAAGCATCAATAGATTCAAAAATATAGAAATAATACAAACCATCTTGTCAGACCATAATGCCACAAAATCAGAAATTAATAATAGGATGATAAAGGAGAAAAACTATACATTTGGAAGCTGAACAACACCTTGCTTGAACATGAACGGGTAGTAGAAGAAATAAAAAATGAAATTAAAAGGTTTCTTGAAACTAATGACAATGAAAACACCAATTGCCAAAACCTATGGGAAACAGCCAAAGCAGTAATCAGAGGTCAA